CTTTCCCACTTTCCCAGACCAGCCAATACAGGACCCTACACACATGTAACCAAGGGGGTAGAAATTTGCTCACAGATGTTTTGGGAATTACTCTTTTCTTCTTCACTCACCACGAAGAGTCAGCTCCTCAGCTGCTATAAATCAGCACAGTGTCCTTGTTTTGACTGGAGAGGTGCCAGTTTTGCACCACGACGATGCAGCCTGCGGAGCACAAAGCAGATGGAGGCAGTTAAACCCTGGGCTCTGCATTGCTCGGTCTTGCTAGAAACACTTACTAAGGGCAGATTTAGGTTTTGTAAACTGCTGTGCATTGTGTATAAACTCAACAGTTTTCCTCACTACCTTTGTTTTCCAGATACTACAAATTCTGACATTTGGTTTTTTGACAAGGTGGCAGTGTCTAGTGACAAAGAGCAGAGAAACGCTGATGAAACAATATGGAAAAAAGTTCCCTTTGCTCTTATGTACTCCACAGCTTTTTTGTTTTCACGGACATTTGCCAGGTTAAGTACTCCTAGTACTCTTAAAAAGTAATAAACTTAATTTACAAAAGCTTAAAGAGAGAACATGTCCAGACTCCTAAACTAGTTGCAGAGAAGTGCTATTAAAAATCCAGGACATAGTGTACGGCACCAGCAGGACAGTTAGATACGTACACGTCTAGCTATTTCGTGGATGGAAAAAGAAAAATTGACAAACTTACGAGCTTGTCGCATTCCACTTCTTCTTCTTCTTCTTCTTCTTCTTCTTCTTCTTTTTTCAGAGTATTGAATGTTGCTTAAAACAAACAGCCAAGTCCATTTCCTGTGACAAACATCCAGGGACATCCAAAAATCAAAACAGAAGCAACAAAAATCAGAAAGCAAAGGAAACTTTGACAAAGCCTCAGAAACTTGTCAGATGTGCTTTTTAAAGCAAGTGTACTCAAAGCAACTAGCGAGAAGGGACCCTGTCCGCCACAATCTGCTCAAGAGTGTTGAAAGTCTTCACAGCCTTTGCTATCTGCAGCAGTAGCTACACAAGATCTGCCCCAGATTTTAACACTAAGAACAAGTGAATAAAGTGATCAGTATTGAGAAACCAAGTGGGCTACAGGAAAAAACCTCAAACCAAACAGCAGCAGCTACAGCACCTCTGCTACCACTGTGGAAAGAAGTCCAAGTATGCATCATTTAAGGCAATCCAAGATCTGCCTTACCACAATTAGAAACTTAATCAAGAAATTCAGCTATGTTGGAGTAGCAGGAATACTTCTCACCACCTTCATATGAGTTAAGTTGCAAACTACTTCTGAAAAAAATGGGTTGAAAGCACAAACACAAAAGAATCAGGAACCCAAAGCCATCAGTCAAAGTACATGAATTGCTTTATCTGAAAAGTGACTTCCTAATAAAACGTAGAGCATCAGATCATGCCCCAGTGTAGACGCAAACTTGCTGAAATTCAAATAATTTACTGCAGAACAATGTTGATAAATATCAAATTTGGGTAGATCTACCAGAAAGAGTTAATGCAGCTGTCCTTAAAGGTTTTTCAAACCCCTTTCAGCCCCATAGGTTTTAACAGGTGCTTTTGTACCCTTGTAGTGTCTGGCGGAGGGATGTTTCAGAACGTCGCACCTGCCGTGGCCCTGCTCCGTGCAGGCTCCATCACACGTGGGATGGGGCCTGACATGAGCTCAGGGAGTTTTGGGCGTTGCTGGCAAAAATGAGGAGGAGGAATAACCGAGGTCTCCTGCGACCTCTTGGTCGCTGGTAGCTCCAGCAGGACCTATTTCTATATCAGTTGTGCTTTGGGCAATGGTGAGAAAGAGGGTGGTGGTAGCCCACACAGTCATTAGCCATCATTAACATAGAAGTGCTGTGTATTCTGAGGGTAATAGTAATGAAAGTATATTTGCTATGGGTAAAAAAATAAATAAATAATAAAAAGGCCTGTTGTGTGTTTTTCCTGCAGCACTTCTAGGGAGCCAAAGTCTAATGTGATTTCATAATTCAACTGTTCAAATGTTTGGTGTCCCTGTAGACAGGATGCTTTTGCAACATGAACTGCCACTTTTTTATTGATTGCATCCTTTCTGCTTTTCATAAGCCTCAATCTAGAAAAATAATGTATTTGCTATCCCTGGTTACTTACATATACTGCAATTCAAAACCAGGATAGTAGCTGGATCAAGCCTTGCAATGGAAACTCCCTAGCGACTGGCTGCCTGTGAGCTCCAACGCCGAGGATGGGGCGTCTGTGTCGCCGCATGCCGCTGATTTTTGGCCAAGGTCCTGCCTTGGGCGCTGTTTTACAGTAACTTCCTCCCTGGGAAGGTGCCTCATCAGCTGCTGTTCCCACGTGCCAATGGGTGGAAGTCCCTGCTGAAGACAGGGATGCACCACCAGCCTCCCTGCAGCCCACCTGCAAGAGGCTGGCGGTGCCGCGCGTTACGTGGCTCTGCACCCACCAGCCCTTGACCAGTGCCACTGAGGAACGGTGCACGCTGGCTGCATGTGCTGTGCAAAAGTTATTCCTTCAGCTGCCCGCCTGCTCACCGGCAGCTGCTTCAGAAGAGCAGGGCCATTCCAGTCTCCACGGAGCTTTCGGCAGACTGCAAGAAATTCTTCTGAAAAAGCTGCTGTCGCATAGCATCGTTTTGCATAATGTCTTCGCAAAGCTCTGACAAACTGTTTTAATAAAGACTTATTAAGAATGAACATTATTTTAAAGGAAATTACAATGCACGTTTGGCAGTATTCTGGATTATTAAAACCAAAGTACATTTTTCGAATGACTCAACAATGTACATTTTTCATTGGACATGTTTTCTATTACATTAATGTTTGTTTTTTTATATTAATGTTTGTTTCTTATTCCCTAACTTGCTATTTTCGCTAATTGCAGAAGATATGCAAGCACAAACAATAATTGCTAAATCACATTCTGGCATTTAAAAGACTTGGGGGAAATAAAGCAACAAATGTGAGGACCGGGACCTGTTTATTTACCCTACCACTTGTCTGAAGAGTGGCATGGAAAGGCAGAGTGTTTTAAGAGAACGTGCAGAATTGTACTGAATTGTGAACAGTGGCTTGTTTTCCTGTTCTGCTGGTGGGAGAAGGAGGTAGCTAACCTCTTTTCCAATCACGCACTTCTGCCAGGAATTTTGTACTAATTGCCTTACGGAAAGCATGTGCATGTATGCATGTACGTTGCTATGTGCATGCAAGCACATTTTGTACGTGTGCACAGAACCATCCTCCTTCGTAGAGATGGTTTCTGCTGGCATCATTTGTCAGTAACGGAAAAAAAAGTTAAAGGAATTGTTGCTGATGGGACATTTGGACTGCTTCCTTCCCAAGCGACTGAGGAAACAGGTTTGTGAAATGAAAGCAAAGGAAACTCTGAAAATACATAAATTTTTCATTCCATCCCTGCCTTCCTTGCCCTGCTGCTGAATCTCCTCATCCACTCTGGCACATCTTGTCACACTGAAGTTTCTGACTGTCACTCACTCATTGCCTCATGATTTCAGCCCTCAGCTCTTTTCCTTTGTTTGCCTGGCAGTTTTAACACAGCAGTTGCCACGATGTGTGCGTTATCTGACATACTGCACGTTGTCCTTGGGGCTCCGGCAGCCGCTGAGGAAGACTGCAGCCCTTCCAGCTTTTAACAGGAATGCTGTCGATTTGTCCTGACTCCACTTCACTCTCCTCCTCTTTCTAGCACTGCTTCCCCAGCGCAAGGGAGGGGGAAAGCAGCACATTTCTGGATCCCGGGTTTGCCCTGAGCAGAGACGTGGGATGGTTGTGAAAGGCAGAGGAGGATGCAGAGCTGCCAGAAGCTCGGCCATGGCCCGATCCCAAACCACTACGAAACGAGGCAGAGCAAGCCTGTTCCCCTTGCACGAGGCCATGCACAGAGCAGTCCTATGGACATCCCTTGGTGTGTCTTGAGCTGGGAAAAGGCTGGGGGAACGAGAGTCAATTTACTTGGAACTTCTGAAAATGACCTCCCCCCCAGCAAAATACTTCCTTGAAACTGTGGATTGAGAGCCTTTTTCTTCCCCATCAAGAAACAGCAGATTCGAGGAAAAGCAGTGAGTGTGTTATGTGGGATCACTTCAGTGTTGCCCCTGAAAATCAGTTTTTTTGCTTAGGTCTGAGATAGAAGTAAATATTATTTTTAAACTTGCCCTGAGCTACAGGTTTTGGAAGAAAACAGAGCATGCTTATGAGAGCCTCTGGGCTCAGGTCCTCTAAAAAGTGAAGCTCCAGCTGTTTGGAGAAAAATTAGGAAGGGCTGAATGTAAGGGGATGTTCATACTAAATATAGGATAGAGAAAGTATCTGAATTTTCAGATAGACAGATCATGGTACTCACCGACATCATAAATACCTGCTGTCAGTCATTCCTGCCAATCGCTATCTGTAGAAATCCAGAAGGAAGACCTTGGGATGAACAAAGCACTAACTTAGAAGAGTAAAGACTGTTGAAAGAATATGGACATGGACACGGAAAAGAATAAAAGGGTGAAAAGCAAAATACTAGCACGAGAAAGCAGAAAGACTGACCTGTTTGCTTTCTTCCCTCCATTCTGCTTCAAAAAGTAGGAACCTTTCTCCTTAGTACTCTTTTTTCTCCTCATTCCTCTTCTCAAATTTATACGGAAAATCCACAACAGCCAATGCTGACAGATTTTGTATGCCTTTTCAATGACAACATATTTCAACACAGTACTCCCACTGAAGCATAATTCTCTGCAAGGATACAGGGAGAAAAATAACCAAACCCCTGCACCCGAATCCATTTCACGCAGCAGACTCATGGCAGCCGGTTCTTGCTCCCCGAATCCCGCCTGTAGGATCAGGGGGCCACTGCTCACTGTAAAATGCAAACTACTGTAGCCTCCTGTATTTAAAATAGAAGTAATAAAGTCTGCTTTGACAACTTTACATCGTAGCTGGAGATGCAAAGGTGGAGATCCTATGCTCAGAGAAATATAGGTACAGGGTCCAGTAATGGGTCTTCTTCTTTGCTGCTGGCAACATAAAGCAGCAACCACATCCTGCAAAAATTCAAGTGGGAGTACAACTTTGAGAAACAGTATAATCTTGTTTGACTGCAAGAAGATCAGTCACTGTAAGTCAAATCACTGACATGTGATGTGCTGGAAGGCTCCTGAGCACTGAAGTGAGAAGGACCACAGTGCAGACTGCTTTGGTTTCCAGATATTTGTAACTTGTAATACGTCCCAGATTTCCAAGCAGACCATGCAGCTCTGGGGATGAACTGGGGGAGTTACACAGCTCACCCTGCATTCCTCGCAGCCCTAATCACTTGGGATGATCTCTGCGCATGAAGCACTTGGAGCCCTGCTCTGACTCACATAATGGAAGAATTAAAAAAACAGGGCAGAAATGAATCCCAGTTAAGTGTTTTTCAGAAACAGGGAATCAATTAAATCAGTAAAATAAGACTTTGTCAAAGGAGAATTGAGAATAATGTACTACAAATTGATAATGGCATTAAGGTATGGCATACATTTCAGATAAGCCCACATTGCTTATTATTTTGCTTTAACAAAATATATTGATAAAATCAGAGTGTTTAATGGGCATAATGCAGTCCTCAATATGTTTGGTGTTACATTCAAAAGATTCCATTTGCTCAAGTTTTCATGTGTTATTAAAATCACTGCTTGGATGTGGTACAGTTTGCATTGAAGTATAATATCCAAACTAAACATGCAGCTTTTTAACAGATGTTTAATTACAGCAACTTCTGAAACCAAGAAATCATTTGCGGATCTCTTGTTATTTCAGATGAAACTACTTATATACAAATGTGTGCTACTCTGGCCCATTTTCTTTTCGCTGTTGCAGGGCAAGATGAAGCCAGCAGCATTTTCAGCCAGAGAATGTCAGTTCCTCATTGCTGGTTCAGAGCAAAGTCGACCAAAAAACTCTAAAACCAACAAGTAACACACAGGAAAACCTGAGTTGTTATTCTTTGTGTAGAACTGCATACCATTTTCTAAGTTCTTTAAATAAAATACCACTAGTACAGACCATAATCCCGGAGCTCACCTCTTGCCTGCAGTCTTGACTTCTTCATTGTTTGCATTCTCCAGCAAGTTGTCCAAGTTTGACTTTCTTTTTGGTAAGTGTAAAAGACTGCACAGTTATCTTTGTTCAACTGCTTCGTTATTAAGGAAAGCGCATGTTCTCACACTCCAGAAATCTTCGGATTTCAATGGAAATGGAAGTCTTGGTTAACAAATATAAAAAATGGTTGTTACCTATATCCCCCTATGGGCTAAAACAGATTATCATGATGCTATTAGAAACCTGTTTGAAAGCAGATTTAATACTTCTGGATATCAGCTCAGCAATGCCACAGCACTGCAGCAACTGCACTTTTCCATCTCCCCGAGAAAGGTGAGGGCTGCTGCTTTTTGAAAACATCAATCAAGGTCACTGAGGAGATGCATGGGGACACGGTGAAAGCTCCCCGCTTCCCTGCCGTGATCCGTTCCTTTGCAATGAACCCCCATGCCAGGCTGCACCAGAAGTGCCCTGGGCTTGTGCGCCGCAGAGTTAATTCATCTGCTGAGAGAATTTACTTCCACCGTGACACGAGTGCTGGCTTCACCATGACCAGGTGACTCTGAGTGTGTATTAACTCTGAATTACCTCTGAATGTGCATTTTACACCATCAACTTTATATTTAAAGCCCATTTTCTGAAGATTAAATAACTAAATAAAGCTAGTAAAAGTGAAGATGGAGAAACGAAAACAGAGAGAGAAAAAGAAAAAAAGTTTTCCAATAACACACACTAAAGATTTTAAATAAATATTTTAATTCTATTATTGGCATTTACAAGTAGAAAGCATACAGTATGTTACAATTTTATCAAAATGTGAAAAATATGGATGTTACATAAGTAACAAATGTAAAAAAAGTATTTTTCTTACCTTCCCTGAAAGTAAGAAAACTATTCAGCATAGGAAAATATTGATATAAAAAACAGAGCTTAGGTAAAAAAAAAAAAAAAAGATGTTTTTATACAGTACAATAGGTTCATCAGGTCTGCATGAAGATGTAAGGACTTTGTGAAATTCTACATAATCCATAACTTCAGGGAATTTGGGACAAACATTAAGCTACATTAATGAGTCTACGAGTAGTTTTCCCTCATATCCGCTCCAAAATGCTAGAGTGCAGTAATTTTCTATACAATAAATAATTTTTTTTTCAAATTTTCCATCATAGAAAATCGCGTAATGCAGAAAATGCCACTCCAAGGTCACAAAGGCTAGGCAGTGCTTTAATAATATTTATGATAATACTTATTATAGTGCTTTATAATGTCTAAGCACTTCAGGCGCGTTAACTAATTAGTCCTCACAACACCCCTGTGAGGTAGGTAAGTGTCATTACTACCTTTCCATACCACGGATGGGAAAACGAAATGAAACACGGGCTGCACAGGCAGCACAGCAGGGTGGGAGGCCAAGAGATGCCGATATCTGCTCGCATCTCCCTGCCTGCCTTGACGGTGCTGCTGCTGCGAGCCCGGCTGAGCGGAGCTGACGGACGCCAACCCGAGCGGGGACACTGGGGGCAGGGGGGACACGGGGTGAAGCATCCCAAAATAGCCCATAGAGATTCAGAAGCTCTCACACAACTTTGTCAAAAATAAGAACAGAAAACACAAAACACAAAAAAGGCGCAATTCCCTTCCCTTCCCACCCCTCAAAAAAACAAACAAGCTGAAAAGAGAAAAACTCCTAAAGTGCTGACCAGCTTGAGCTGCTTCTAGCACCTCTGACTCGGAGTAAGACTTACAGCACTGTTGCCAGCAATTACTCAAGCTGATTTCGTCCTTAAAGTTTGCATATGAGCAACTGCAAGGTATGGTAACTACATTTTCTGAGACACTTTACTACTGTAATTCCTTCATTCATCACCCTCCTTCTGTGCACTTAAGGAAAATGAGATCCCTCAATACTCTTACATTGAAAAACATGTTAGTAGCTGAAGACAATATGCACATCCTTCACAATAAAAAAATTAGTTCATTTTCTGAACAAAGCATTATTAATTTAAGAACCAAAGAAATCAAACAACGGTAAATAGGAAACCCTTTTAAAAAGCTGCATGCTGAATATCTTGTTTCCAAATACAATGCATGCAGGAGAAATAAATTCATCCAGGCGTAATTAAATTAAAAACGTTTTTAGGTCCGTTTCAGCAGCATAATGGTTATTATTTTTAAAGTCTCCTCCAACCAGACTGGCCTGGGGTTCGAATGCTGACCGTTGCTTTTATGCAAGCGTGTAACACGTGTTCTGCACGGGGACAACAGCTGGATGCAGAGCCTACACGTACTGCTCTGCTTCCCCCTCCTTGGAAGGAGGCTTGGGGGTGGTACCACCTGGGCTGTCCTCACTCGCTGCTGCTGCTGCTGCTGCTGTTTTTTCGGGAAGCGACGCCAAATCTTTGAAAACATCCACGTAATGCCCAAAGCC